TTTTATGATGGGGGGTTGGTGGGCATCGCTCAAAACCAACTACTACTGGTCTCCTTGAGGCCGACTTGTTAGTAATATTCTTTATATTAATATATGTTTTTATATATTTATATTAATATATGTTTTTAAAACCACAATGCTGCTTTTTGGATTGTTATTAAATATTTGCTATGTAGCTAGATTGAAAAATTACATAGCTTGTTTTAAAGAAATAATTCGAGGTATACAGATAAATAATTTTCTTCGTGATTTATGCCTGAAAGGCTCTCATTTTATTTTGGTTTATGTATTTCTGCCCAGGAGATGGCGGAAGCGTTACATAGCACCTCAAGCTGTATAAAAACTTATTGTATTTTATTCGTAGGTATGGGTTATGTTAATTTGTTTTAATTATATCACGAATATAATACAAGCTTCGATAGGCATGTGCTTGTAATATAGCAGTTATAGAAATTAGCATTATTTTTAAATGAAAGTTATATGATTAGGAGCCGTATACTGTATCAATAAACAAGTATTTTAATATACCTTGACAATCATCATCACGAATACTTATTAATTTTATAAAATATTACTAACTGATGTATTCTTGAAGTCCGTGGTCAACCATAGATTTGGCCCAACTTTACCCTTGACTTGAGAATGGCAGAATTTGGAGCACATATAACAACTTTTGTAGGTGAAAAACCGTCTATATTTGAATTATTAGCACAAGACAGCTTTGCAAGAGGACTAAGAACCGCAGCAAAATATTTTATTCGTGTAAGGTATTTTGTTTAATTTTTTTTGTCATTATTGTTGTTGTCATAGACAATTTTAGCTTTAAAAGTTTAAAATACTTTTATATTAGTGAATGGATTATATTTTCATAAAAAATTGAAGTATAACTTAGGTAATATAATGGATACACTAGATATTTATGCGAATTAGTAGTTTATGTTAAATTTAGCAACTTAATAAGAAATCTGAATGAAACTGAAACTGAAAGAGTTCAGAGGCAGCAAACTGAAATTTTTAGAAAAACCATCTGAACTACCCGTTCCTAACACAGGTGCCCAGATAACTTGAAATAAGTATTTAAAAATACAATGAAATTACTTTTAAGAACATTTTTTTATAAAATTAAATTTTCATCCAAACCTTTGATTTTCAAAACAAAAAATATTACACAATCCAAATTAAAATTCTTGACATACCACATTGGTTACTGTCCTTTTTCTGACAATATTTACAGGTTTTAATGAAATCCAACCTTATTGGTGAATTAACCTTTAATTTCAGAATGTGTCTTGGTGTCCCTGGTGGTTCAAGAGGATTTGGGAATCCAGTTAACTTAATTTACAGCACCATTTGTAATTGGAACACTGACAACTGATCTGTAGTGAATTTCTGTCTAGGAAACTTTTGCAATAATTGATCATTTATGTCATGAACAGTATCACGTTGAGGTGCAAAAATTGCTATTTTACACAACCATTCATAATTCTGGTATATATTAGGGAACACCTTTTCCTTTACCTCTTCTGCATCCTTAACTAAGTTACCATAACTTGTCTGGAATAGTAGTTTAATTGATTGGAAACTTTCTAACACTAACTTGAGATGAAGTTTCTGAATTAAACCATGTGCTTTTATATCACTGAAATTATTAAAAACAGAGAAAATAAACCTCAAATTAACATGTACATTATAAATTTAACACAAACAATATTGTTGGCCTAACAACAATATTGCGATAGTTTTGTTGCTTAGCAATGATGTATACTGTTGAGTATTACCAAAAGGAGTGTGAACATGAAAACAGAAACTGAATTAAAATCCAAAAATTAGTTTTAAGTTGCTAAAAAACTTTTTTGTCACATTACTTCTGGGGACTGTAGGAAGACAGAAACTGAATTAAAATCCAAAAATTAGTTTTAAGTTACTAAAAACCTTTTTTGTCACGTTACTTCTGGGGACCGTAGGAGTCACCATGCTAAGTTTGATGGTAATTGGTCAAATAGTGTGCAAGGAGTTAGCAGACAGACAAATATACAATTTTACTTGTATATATATGTAGGTATACAATTTTTCAAATAAGCTGTATTACATCAAAAACGTGCGGGTGATCACTCAGCACTGTATAGCTCTGACAAAATTATAATATAATCTAAAATTTATTTATTGTACAGAAAAGAAAAGGCTGAACTCGAAGAATTAAAAAATTCTAAGCATTCCAATACCCGTGTATTGTTTTTTATTATCCAGAATACATATTTCAAAATACTTAGAGATTTTTGTTTTATTTCAGAAAATAGTAAATCCAATATTTTATTTAATATAATAACTACTGGCTTAGTAATGGTATTTACTGAATTTGTAATAAATCGAAACTTAATTGGAGTTTTATGTAGTTTTGGAATTGCATATAAGAAAGGTAAATTTAAATATTTAGAATCAACAGGTATATTCCATTTTTTAAAATTTTCTGCAAGTTCTTAATAATTGTATTTTTATTTGAGGTAAACTCAGTAAATGTTTTTGTTGTATTAATTTCATTCATTATAACCTGTTCATAAAATCTTTTACATATAAATCCAAAGTTGCTATTAGCTTTATCCATTAGAGTGATCAAAATAGTTTTTGAATTTCTTTGATTTTTCTTTTAAAAATAGGAAAAGGAATATCTATAGTATAATTAGATAAATTTAAATACTTTAACTTCTTTTTTATGTTATTCATAATAAATATTTTCCATTCAAAGAAAACTCTTGGGGGTATAAACATTATTTACTAATTTTTATAATATATTCATCAATATTTTTCTGTATTTGTATTATTTCATTCTTTGTAGTTTTATTTAAGAATCTAAGTTTAGTTCTTTTTTTTAGAATGCTTATAAAATCAATATCGTTGATCACATTCAAATTACCAGTGATAATATGCTTATGAAAAGAATCAGTAAATGTATTATTATTACATTTACAAGGTAAATTATCAATATCTTCTGGATTAAGATTTTCAACGAATTGTTTATAGTTAAAATTGAAAGGACCTATTGGTTCATTGTATCTAAAGCTAACAGCTGGTTGTAATACTTTTATAGGAAATACTGTTTCTTGAACACTTTTATGTATGAGAGAAGGCAGAAAAAGATCATCACACACTTTATGTTTTAAATCATTACAATATATGATTTTTCTAGGTTATCCTTTATAGAGTTTTATCATTAGGATATATATCCCAGTTTAATCTAAATTTAATTAAATCCAAAACAAGATCTTTAATATGTACATTTTTAAATTCAAATGTATATGCAATGCCTGATAAATATTATTTTTTTCAAATTTAATTAAAAAATATTTTTAATACCTTTAACAATAATATTAGTATTGGTATAAATAGAATCCAACTTCTTACAAAATGCTTTGAAATTAATCCATTTTACATATTTTTTACCTTTCCTCATGGTTTTTTTAGGGATAACTATCGTACCCACAACTGGCTATAGACGGTGAGTGATAGTGGGATCTCGGACATTGTGGGTTGTAGCACCCAGATCCTAATCCCCTTTTTTTCGGTTACATGCTGACTAGCTCTGCATCTGTTGTTTTGATTATGTCTGATAGATGGAATATCCCCAATGCTTGTGGGAGCTATAACCGCAGACATTTTCACTCTAAAATGATACCTTTTGTACAAACGGTATAATTTGACATTGTTATATTAGAACTTTGTTGGCACATTCACTTACTTGTTGGCATATACATCTACATGTACAATAAATAAATTGTAGGTTATATTATAATTTCGTCAGAGCTATACAGTGCTGAGTGATCGCCTGTACGCTTTTGATGTAATACAGTTTATTTGAAATTATATATATATAGATTTTAAAAAGTATTTGCTGCTACATGTTTCTAATAATTCCATTTTTGATTCCTAATATTCTTTTTAACATGTTCTCAAGTACATTTGGACCTGTAAATTATCCTTTCTAGCAGTTTATTTCAATTTTTTAAACTTGTAACATTTTCTTTAATTTTGATTTGATTCCCTTTCTAAGCTATTTGAGCTTACGTTTGATATATTTCTTTTTTTTTGACAGCATGATCATATTTTGTATTTGTAATAATAGTAATTTGTAGATAGTTCCTTTCTCGTAGGTAGCCTGGCATGGTGGTTAGGGCATTTGAATCATAGTCTTCAGATTGGAACATTGAATCCCATCATTGAACATTCTCGTAGCTTCAGAGTTAGCTATTTTATGGTTTGAAATTAAAATATTATTAACTTTGATGTTAACATAAAAAAAAACTCAAATCTAATTAATCTTCTTGCTACGGGTCTTCCTATGGTGTAGGGTCAAAAGGCATGTCATCACATTTGTAGACTTACCTTCAAAACTTTATTGATCTACTATTTTAAGAACGTATAAAAATAAGTTTGGTATCACACTAGATTATGATTCAAATTTTAGTATTACATATTAGTTAATTTCTTAATTTAAAACTAAATATTAAAACAAAATTCCTAAATATCAATTTTGTGTATCACGTGGTATGTTGAATGCTGCTTTGGTTCAAATTAGATGTTTATGATGTCCAAATACAAAGTCTATAATTTCTTACAAAGTAGATACTCAAATTACCGACATTGACAAGCTAGAATGTAAAATAAGAACCTCCTATCTTTTCTGTTTGCTGAGATATCACAACATTTAGCAAATCAATCACAGTGGGCCCCACCCACCTCTTTCATTTTGGAAATAGTTGCGTAAGTACTTCTGTCTATGACGTGTGAAAAATCAGTCAAAAGCACAGAATGTCCTCCACATGGTTTTTCAGCCTCTAGAAGGTGGGAAGTTCCCAAGATTATTTCTTTGGAATCTCAGAAGGAAGGCATCAGTGGAAATGTTGTCTGAAAAACATTTTTTTTTGCCCAAACAAAGTTTAGCTAATAAGCCTGATAAATTACAGTAAAATTCTGAGATATTGATTGAGTAATTTATAATAATTGGTTATTTGAAAATGCATATTTAATTATAAAACCTAAAAAATTATTTTATATTACATCTTCCACATGCAAAATTTGGCAAGGCTTAGCAAATTATGGAAAGCGGGCAAACAAGTATGAAATTTGTATGTAGAAAAAATTCATTGTTTTCTAATTTCTTTATTTACTGTTCTCTGTTTTAGAAAAAAAATTTTAGTGAAATTTAGGAACTTATTTGTAAATAGTAATAATAATAATATATATATAATGTATTACAACCAAAATATAACTATTTTACAAAATACTGGTTCACTAAAACAAACCAAAGACAGGTCACTTTGTAAAGGCCAGTTTTATACTATTGGATATGGTAACATGAATGCTTGTGTCCCATGTCATTGAAACTTCTGTAAAGTTATTTACACATAGCTGAAAAGCCAATAAAATAAAAATAATAAATATATATATATATGTAAAATGTTATGAGATTTAAGCTATTTAGTCTAAACATTTTGTGGTTTCTTGTTATAATTTGTAGTAATTCTAGAATGAAAAAGTGTAATTATATGTATTTCCTAATTTTTATGTTGGTTACGAGGTTGGTCAAATTGACCAAACCCATACAGTGATACAATAGTGAAAATAATATATAAAATATAATGGTTTTTCTGAAAAACAAAATTTGATAATTCTCTGGAAGTTATAAAGATTTTACTTTGAAATTTGACAGTTTTCTGATGCATAAAAGTACTTTTAATCTTAAAATCAAGATTACTTTGCATGTTGGATAGTAAACATTTGAAAAGAAAACAAATGCATGAGAAAATCATTATTTAAAAAATATTAAAATTTTAACTAAAATCAGATATTTTGTGTACTAAAGCCTTGTAATGTTTGCTGATAATCTGCAAAATTTTGTGAAGATACACCTACTGTATTAACAGTTATAGCATGAAAACTGTAACAAACACAAAATGGTTATGAGGTCTGTCCCTGGGTCCGAGCCCTTAGTGAGAGAGTTAAACAGTTATCACTAGCTCTCAAACATTCCTCTGCCTAAACCTTCTGAATGATATTCTTATCAGTACTGTAGTTAATAATAAATTCTAAATAGAATTCTCTATGTGATAAAGGAAACTATTGTATACTAACTTTAAAAAAGTATCACATTTACTATCTGACTGTTTGCAATCACAGTTAACATTTCTTAAGTCAAACCTGAAATATCCAAACTTCTTATGTGAGTTTTTTTAAATTTTGTATGTTTACTCAACCCATTAAGACCTTAAAGCATCATCTCAACCTGCCAAGCCCTTAAAGCATCTTCTCAAACTGCCAAGCCTTTAAAGCATCTACTCAATCTGCCAAACCCATAAAGCACTTATTCAACCTGCCAAGCCAATAAAACATCTACTCAACCCACCAAGTCCAAAAAGGTGGCTTGTAGCAGCTTCTTGGTACTTACCTGTTATGTGTACAAATATACCTGTGTTTATTCTACATTCACACTAGCCTTTTTGATATCCTCCACTGAGAAATGTAGTTTTAAAATGAAAATCTATTTTTATAAGCCTCTAGTTCATTCATAATGAACCAACTAAAAGCACTGTTGTAAAAAATTCAATAAAGTATAATGTTTTACCAGACCTGTTAGGTTTTAATAGATGTTTGAAGTTGTCCAGCAAAACTTTGAAAGAATTATCACCACAATTTACTGTCCTCTGAAGTTATTCCATATATTATCTAACATAAGAAACAAGTAGTCATGCCTAACAATCCAGTATCTAGACTGTTTGTTATTTGCATAAATCATAATATTAATAAGATTAATAACATAACTGGGTATATGTGTGTTTCCCACAGATTAAAATCAGGTATGAATTATAAAATATTTGAAATAACTTTTTATCTCATGTTTCCTGTCTTGCTAGATTATCAATATCAGTCATTTCAACCACTGGTCCATCACAACCACCTTCCCAGTCCGAGGAGTTTCACCAAACAAACAAACTGATATAATATTCATATATAAATTATAATGGTTTTTCCTTGTACTTGCATTTTATTATTTTGTGAGAGTTTAGGGAGGCAGCGAGCCAGTTACTGGTATTGAAAAGGGTGAGAAATGCTGAATTATAATACTAAGCTATCTGACATATTATGAATTATAAAAAATGAGTGACATACAGGATAAAACATAGGTTACAACACAACCTATTATCTTATAACATTAGAATAGCATGATCAGACAAGTAAAACAATACTTGTAACCAATACTGTTGTTGTTCCACAAGATGTTAAACCAAATATAAATTTTATATATTGTGAGAGTTTCTTTTGTGGCTGCATTTTGATACTGTAAACAATTTTTAGTTTATTCAAGTTCTTTCAAATAACATTAAGATCTGTTAAATGCCAACCATCACCATCATTTCAAGCCCTATAAATCTTTTACTGCATGAATGGTATCATGATACATTGTAGTTTGGTGTTTGCTTGCCAATTTAAATTAAAAATTCACTAGCTGAAAACATTAAAATTTATAATTTCAAATTACTTGACAGGATTGTTCAAGAGTTTTAGGATCTGGTATATTAAAAACTAAATTTCAAGACAGTGTGTCTGGAACCATGAATATAGAATAGAAATGAATACGTTGGATTATTTGTTGCTGAAACGACATATAAACATGAAGGCATACTCATTAATTGTTGTTTTTCACTACCATTTGGTTTTGCCAAAATAACACACACCTCATACTGCTAGAATTTTACTTGTCAGGATCTGTTGACTATATCATCTTATTGTTCTAAATTTTGCCTAGTATAGAAAACAAAAAAAAAACGTTTGCATCTTTAAGTATTTAAGGTGTTTTTATAAATTTATTTTATCAAATTTTACAGGTCTTAGCAGAAAACAATCCTGCAAAATATGGATTTTATCTACACCATTTTGAGGAACTGTATCTTATTAGTGACTTATTTGTGCAGTATCTGCATTTGAAAACTTATGGTGAGTACTTTAGCATAAGTTATATAACAGTTTAACCATTAAAAGCAATTACAAGAGAAGGACTAAATCTACTTCACACAAATATATATATATATATACACACACACATTATATAACAAACAAATATTTATCAACAGTTATGGTTCTTGAAGATGGTTGCTATGTTTTTTCAGCTGTTGTAAGGTCTCTTTAGCCTAACACCTTCTGCCTGATGATGGGGGGGGGGGTTTTGTTTTTG